GCAGTTGGAATGTTGAAATCTTGCTGATGCCATGGTTTATTGCGCTTTGTGTAGATGTGGAATCTGTGTCAGGCCGTGGAAAGTGAGCAAGATGCCACAGACGAGGTTGAATCGTGGAGACAGGTGGTAGGTGTTCTGGAGCAGCTGGAGGCCGAAAATTATTGCTAGCAGCTATTGTAGCATGTTCTCAAGATTTCAATGATAGAAGGAACAGATTGAAACATATTTTGGTGGCCAAAATCAAGTCGTAAACCACAAGGGTTGGACACATAGATAGTGCGACATCGCGCGCCTCTAGTATTTGATGCGCACCGCTGCGAATCTCGCTGAGGGTCATCTCCTACATGTTCTTTTTGGCCACAGGAACGTCTTTGGCTGAGGGAAGTGAAATTGCGATAAACCGCCCAGAAGATGTCATCAGAAATCCCCCTACGTCGCGGGAAGTCGCTCCAAAACCGCGTCAACGCGTGCATTCGTCGCTCCAACCCGTGAAAGCCCACATTGACAACAGGCGCAAGCCTGACCTGAGCAAACTCGCGCGAGGAAATTCGGACAGATTTCCTTTGCATTGACTGCGCTGTAAGGATGTTTTGCAGTATTTTGATGTATTTTGTAGGTCAGAAGAAGCCCTTGGAGCGGGCACTGGGATGAGGGTGGAGCATGGTGGGGCATAGTGAAGCGACCGCGAGTACAGGAACCTCATTGTTTACAGGAGGAGACCTTCCTTCATAAGAGATCATGACAAGTACAGTACTTTTTGCTTGCGGCAGGTGCAGGAACATGTACGAACACTTGCAGTACATCATAAACATGCATAATGAACAGTTAGCACCCAGCCATCATACCTAGAAAGTGGTTCTGAAATCCAGGTTGCGACAGCATCCACAACAGAAGCCTTCGGCCTCGCAAACCCAGGGTGCAGTGCATTTCAAATTGAATATTGGCAACGACCTGTCAACACCAGACAGCATTCATTTAACATGAATTTGGAACACAACATGTCACAGTCACAGTGGCAACTGAAGAACTATTTGCCGAATCCTGACAACTTGCACGTACCTTTGATATTAGCCAAAGGATTTCCAAAGATAGGATTAATGCTCCACCGGGCGACCAACGTTGGCAGAAGCCTTCATCAGAGTGCTTTTTTGTGCTTTTTGTGCCTGTGCAGGCTGCAAAGAAGCATCCGGGGAAGGAGTACGGAACAGTTGACCCAACCGCAGCTTTGGTAGAAGCACGTCGGCGCTTCTTGGTTGCAGGTGTCAGGAAGTGAATCCGAGTTTCCTCAACTGCAAGCAACTGCGATCAATTTGTCAAATGTGTTTGTATTTGACATTTGTTTGACAAAAGAACACGTAAAGGTCTTCCTTTGCCCAAAGATCTCTAGGTCTGAAGGTCATGGAAGATGACAGCGAGCGCCAACGCCTGGGCCTTGGACGTCGACGCCCAAAGGCCAGAGATGGAGACCAGGCCACGGACGGCAGTGCTCGGCGCATCGGGTGGATTTGGGAATTGGAGGGAATCGGATTTGGTAATGGACAGAGAGGCGCATTCAGAAGAAGTCCTAAGATGTCCTAAGTATGTCCAAGCGGGGAACAAAGATTTTCTGGTGGTCCTGCACTTCTATAGCCGCTATAGCCAGACACACCAAGTATGACTTCAGCGAATCTCGGTCAGCAGCGTGCAAGTGAAGAAGCTGAGCATAGGAGAGACCAGAAGTTTGCAAGAAGTCAAAGGGAAAGCCATCCGGTCCATGGCACTCCCGGGTATAAGTTATATAAGTATACTTCTACTTCATTCATCTTCATTCTACTTCTATTATCAGGCGAGGATGTGAAGCTTGCGATGAGTGGATGTAGGCCGTGGAGCATTGACAGGCAAGGCAAGAGGAGTCGGAGGTGGAGAGAAGTCTGGAAGTCAAGGCCGCTACCAGCAAGCGCTGCCTTGCAAATGAATTGAATTGACACTCGTAGTGGACTGCTTTGGTTCAGGTTCCTTCCTCTAGCAACATGGAAATCGCCCCAGGGTCATCGGATAGTGTACGTCAATAGAATTCACTAGTGTACGTCAGTCGGGTTCTTCTCGCCTCGGAGTTAGGATCTCAAGTTGAGGTCCTGAAGGTCCCATTTTGCTGGTCGTGCAGCCGGTTCTTTCAAGAGCTTTTGGCCTCATGTTTGGCCTCATTGCAGTGTCGATCCCACGCCGACACCGCGTCGATCAGCCAGCAGCGAAGGTGCCCAGCAAGCAGCTGAAACATCGAATGGAATCTGTCGACACCAGCGACGCAGTTGCAGAAGCACGTCGCCGTTCCTGAGTTGCAAAGGAGCGAAGCGAAGCGAAGCAATGGATGCACGCTGCGAAAAAGAGGCATCAGAGTACAGTTCTAGATGGCAATGTTGGTTGCTGTTTCAATTCCAGACTTCAGAGGTGCAGGATTCCAAGGATGACTGATTACTGTAATTAGTGAGGTGCACTGAAACATGATCCTCAAAATTATTGGTTCATGCCAATTCTTATGGTTTTATTCGCTCTTGTCCAGATCCAGCTCTGACTGAGTGATGCAACATGCGGTCGCTATCGGTCGCTTAGGGCTACATGGAATGGAAGAGGAGAGCGAGCGCCAGCGTTTGCTTCTGGGACGTCGCCGCCGGAAGCCAGCTGAACAGGCCATACACATTGACACATTGCAAGTAATATACAAATCTTGGAGGTGTATTGGAGGTATTGCACATGAGAAGGAATCAAGATGGGGTGTGCAGCTTAAAGATAAAGATTGCGTGAAGTTGCAGTTCCCACAAAAGCCATGTTAGGATTTGAGACTTTGGATGCTTATGTGACGGCTATGTTGGTCTGTGCAGGCAAGGCGGGAAGAATTGCAGAAGCTCGTGGAGGGAGGAACCGAGTTTGAGTCCATCGCCAGAGAGCACACTGAAGGACATTCTTTGGTCAGAGCGGCTGCAAACGGGCTGGGTTTGCGCTTGAACAACAGAACGTACGCAAAAGGATGCAAAAGGCAACATGCAGCTATAGTGAAAGAGTTGCTTGCATTCATTGTAGAAGGAGCGAGCACGGGGGCTATGGCCGCGATATTCAGAGATAGGGTCCAGGGTACATCTCAATGCCGTAAAACTGCGTAGAGGTCAATCTTGTGCAATTTTGCGGATGTTAGGACTTGACAAGCAGCAGAGCAACATCAAGGAGGCGAGAGCGGAGTGGAAGAACCGTGGGAGCTGGTTTCGAAAACGGGGAGAAGAACCACCGAAGCTGCACCCCTTCCAGGTGATGGAGAGTGACCGCGATGCGATCGAGGAGATTGAGTTCTGGCGACAGATGGTGGGTCTAGAGGAACTCCAGGCCGAAGTGCTGGAAGCAGTGCTCAATATTGAAGGATAGCTTTTGTTTCCTTCTGGTTTGCCAAGGACTTCTGAACACTTCTGGAAAGCAGTTACACTGATAGAGTGGGCTAATGATGGCTAATGTGGCCTGATGACTTCAGAAACGTTTCTCATCTTGTCGTCAGCCTGGCAGCCTGGCAGGTTGCTGCTAGCAAGATGTCAGAACAGTTTGATCAACTAGGCTCCGAGGAGGAGGCAGGTGCCGGGTTGATTCTGCAAGAGGTCTTCAGGTCTGACATGTTAGTTTTTACTTAAAGGTTGGAGGCCATCGCTCCTAGGGTGGAGTCCCATCGCTCTTAGATTGGAGGCCATCACTATCAGGTTGGAGGCCATTCCTTTTAGAGCCGGATCCTGTTGAGAAGACTTGAGAAGAGCATCAATCCGGACCCCACTTTCAGGCGCAGGCCGCGCAGGCTGCCTTCGAGGTCGAAGAGGCTGAGGAAAGTCCATCGCGGTTGTTTCTCGGTGGAGCAAACCAGAGAATCCAGGTAATCATCCACGAAGCCTAAATGCTGTGAGGGCTTTTCAGTAAGATTCATGAAGCTGGTGAGGTTAGCAAAAGTTGAGAAATATCGAGAAGTGGTTGACATCTTGGAAACCAAGGAAGCGCTTCACCGTCGCGAGGGATGTGAAGGAGGACACCGCTGAAGCGAAGCAAAAATGTCAAGAGATGCAGGCGAAGGGAGAGAGGAAGAGGGGGGGAGAGAGAGAGAGAGAGCGGTAAAACTCCGTACGCATAGGAGATTGGAGATGGAACAGACCACATTCACTTAGCTGATTCGATCCAAATGTATCCAGATGTTTGATATCGATGATCTTGTATAAGGCCTTGTGTTATTTCAAAGATTGCTGATCCCACAGTCCCATTGAAATATTTGGGATGGTTCGAATCGGCACGTGTTAATCGCTTTCCAACAGTGAATTCATGCTGATTCTTACCAAAACTAATAGCGATGGCCTCCAACCTACTAGTGATGGCCTCCAACCTAGCTGGCAGAAGGGGCTTCTTCCGCTTTGACCTGACATGGCAGACGCGTCTTAAAGCAATGAGGGAGGATGAGGAGGAGCGTCAGCGGCTACTACTGACTAGACGCCACCGAAGGCAGCTGCAGGAGTGCAATCAACGCGACGATCGCTGATAGAGTCTCCGAGCCCTTGAAAGCCAACATACGTGGAGCTTTCAACAGACAGACTGTTTCCTAGTGGATCTCTTTTGAGTTCGACCAACCCAAGCAAGACATAAGATACATAAATGAGTCACCCGACTTGCTGTTCACAGGAACCTCCTGCGTACGCAGAGGCAGCTGCACGAGAGACGGAAGAGAATTCACGAGATCTGCTGCTCAAGGCCCATGAAACTCGACCCAAAAACAAGGTTGCTCCAAAACGGATTTTCCTCGGTCAGTGTTGATGAGTCGCGCAGCCAGACAAATAGTTACTGCGCACGGAACAGTCGGGTAGCTGAGGGGTTTCTCAGTGTATCTTGATGTGTGACTTTCCGGGCTCAAGCACACAGCCACTGTTTGAGCTTTGCTGTTGACGTATGACTTGGGTTTGGCTGTGGACGGTGCTCCTGTCAATCTGCTTGAGATGCTGCGAAGGGACAGGCAGCTGCAAGCAGATTGGCTGTGGCGGGCATGATGAGACTTGCTGGTGTGTGGAATCTTGTTGGAGTTTCAATGACTGCTGTAGTGACTTTGCTTCAGTATGTCCTGAAGAGCCTGAGATTTCCTTGGGAGAAATCAACCTCTTGGTGACCACCGATTTACATTCCTGGATTGAAGGAAGAAGACATGAGCCTCATTTCGATGCCACTTTGGGCCACGTCACCTCTGCACTAAACCATTTGCGGGAAATGGCTCGCAAAGATCGGCGTGATGTATTCTTCTTCGACAATGGAGATATCAATGATGGGACAGGTCTTTCAGCCTCAGCACCAGATCATGTGACCTTCCTCGCTCCTATTTTGCAAAAGGTCCCCTATGATGCCTTGAACATCGGGAACCACGAGTTGTATCAGCGGAATGGCTATGGACTTCTTCCTGGGCCCGCCTGTCCCATTGTAGGGCTGAAGGAGTCGGGGTACATTGATTCATGGGAAGGTCGAGTCTTGGCTTTCAGCTTCAGTGAGCTCGTGCGTAGCTACATGACATAGCTTGTGCGTAGCTGCGTAGCTACATGGTCATTCTTGCCGAGCTTTTGAAGTACATGCACCACGGGAATGTGTTTAAACACAGGGATAACAACAGGGAGCCTGTAGATTTCGTCACATTCTACAGTCTACATGAGTGAGTCTCTCTTGAGACCATGACATACCTAGCCAACATGTGATTTCTAGCAAGACTTCTCAGGATATTTGACTTCCAATGTGGTTTGGTCCACCAACTTGAAGCCGGTGGGCGATCGCTATGCCGTGATCTCTGGGGAGTTCGGCCGACGCGTCTTAGTCTTCGGGTTCTTGTACAATATGGAGGATCATTGTGATGCTGTTGAGGTACAGAAAGTTGAAGATGTGGTGAATTCCAGTTGGTTTCAAGCTGCCTTAGATGAACCTCACGATGCCGTCGTAGTCTTAGCCCACATGGACTATCGAGATGACCTGGTGGAAGTGCTCCACAGCGCCATCCGACAACGAGTAGGGCCTCAAACGCCAATCCAAATCCTGGCAGGGCATTCACACATCAGAGGTTACAGGCATGGCCGGCACAGCATTTGATTACAAGAGTCATGCATTGAAAAAACATAGATTGGATATGAATCTGAATGGGTTCTCCATTGGACTAGTTCATTTATTTGGACTCCTATTTTTTCACGCGACCAGAATTCACGGAAATCAGCGGAGCACTCCCCTGACAGCCCTGAGGCAGCTGGATAACTATTCGTCGGTGTACGAAGCGGGTTGCAAGCTCGACACAGTTACTCAGTAGAACTCAGCTCGATACAGTTAGATGTACAAACAAGCCGAACACGCCGAGACCTTTTGTATAAACGAAAACACAATCATCTTCTGTACGAACGCAAGAGAGAACCTTTTGAGACGACCTTTTCTTTTGCTTTTTGCCAACAAAGTTGGGGCTCAATCTAGATGAAGATGGTGCGATGGTGTGGGAATATATACAGTAATCATGCGATGAGGTAGATGATGAAGGTTGCAGACCCATTTGACCTTCCAAGGTGGGATTTGTGTCCTTCAAGAAAAGTGCCGATGGCAATGGCTTGGACTTTGAACATGCGAACATCACTGGGAATGTGAAGGTCATGGCAGGCCGTCGAAGAATAGTCTTGGAAGTCAGCTTTCAAATGTTATGTCCATCAACCCATGCACAAACTACTGTCACTATAAATACCATTTGATTTTCATGACTTGCAGACTTGCAAGCCCTTCACAAGATGATTTGCTGTGAAAACCATCATTGAAGGGCTACGGTGATCACAGGTGCTCTGCACATGCCGTCACTAGCTCCAGCGCCAACCGTCCAAGCTGCCTTGGATGTCGCCAAGGCCGCTGCCAAGACTGAGACTTCTCTTGAACTTTGCAGATAAGAACTGTAACCTAGATAACATTGAATAGCCATAAATAGCCTACTCAATGTCAGTTGTGGAAGTATTGAATAACATAAATGGATGTGGCAGCATTGGAACCAATGCAGATGGCGCACGTGGATTCGCCTAAGGAGCACATCTTGGGGTGCTCATTTGAACATTATCGCCTGTCCACTCCTTTGCAAACAAAGGACTCTTTGTGGCTTGGAATATCTCGAGACATCTGTAGAATTCTCTGTAGAATTGGTCCCTTTTGATCCCTTTCCATGTATTTCTTGGTAGAATTTGAGAGTAATCAGCCATCGAATTAAGTGAACTGACGACATCCGACTATATACCCTCGAATTCTTCAGTTTCAAAAGGAAAGGTCTCGTTGGCCTCTCCAGTTGTGGCTTTCGCGTCCTCGAAACCACTGGGCCGGTCTGCCAGGTGGTCCTTCTACATGCAAAAAGTGATCCCAGACACCCTCTTCGATTCACCCAAGCAATTCGCCATAGTGGGGACCGGTGCTTTGACCTATGATATTTATCCAGGAACTTTTACAGTGGATGATGCTTACAAGGCCTCGCCATATGGGAATGTGTGGTTGATCCTTGAAGAGATCTCGGGTGAACATCTCGCCCGGCTTCTGGAAGAGCTCAATCACCACACGCGACGGCACCGCGACGCGCCCGCACGGCACCCCAGCGATCGTGTCACGGCGACGGTTCCGTCCTATGCCAGCTCGGGCGTTCCGAGCCCATCGAGGGCCTATGACCTGATCTTCTGCGACTTCGACCTGGATCCAATTCGGCAACATTTAAAGCCTCTAGTTGGGCACGAACTGCAACCAAGGCTTTACAAGCCACCCCTGAACACCTCCAGTGTGTTGGAGGAGTGGTTCAAGAAGCAACCGTGCCTCAGTTTCATCGGTTATGTCTAGCAAGCTTTATGTCTTCATCTTCCACAACTTGCAGGTGCGCCGGACTTTCGAGAGGGTGTCATGAGTGCCGAGGCTGGTTAGCAACGCCTGACCAGCTCGGCTGTGAAGCTTTCAGAGGGAACAGTTGAGTTGAAAAGAAAGGCACCGCGGAAAGTTGGTCACCAAGAGTTACAGCAGTTCAAAGGGTGCAGTCCATTCATTCAGTTTGATATCATGCCTTTTTTTCTAACCGTGAATATAAAGAAAAACATGTTGCAGATATCACTTCAATGCGGACACACCTTCACATCATCTTCACATCTACTCACCGTTCCAAGGAATGCATTGCGGAGGGCAACCTCGGTGATGTGCAGGTACGGCTAAACCGAAGCGAACACGAAGCGAGCTCACAAAGTTGGAAGCGAAGAAGTTGCAACGAAGTTTCTCGGATGTGGGATTTCTCTCCTTAGATCATGAGGGTGAGAGGGAAGACATGGACGCGTGGGAATGTACATGCATGGCATTGAGCAGACAGGAAAAACAAATAGTGCAGATAGAAACGGAAGGAGCAACAGTTGTTTGGCTTGAAATGACCCGTGTGCAGTAAAAGTTTGCTTTTGCGCAAGCCAGACACAGGCATTGCGCCAGCAGTTGCATGACTTGCGAGAGGATGCTTTTGACGAGGCGAAGGAGGCACGTCAACATGCCAGGTTGTTCAGATGAAACACCATCAGATGGAGATGGGACAAACATGCTGGGATAGTTCGGGATAAACGCAATGTAGCCGAAACGAAAGACAAATTTGGAAGAATAGCACGGTCTAAAGGCTAAAGGTGTAAAGAATAAGACGACATGTAAATGATGTAGCCCAGAAGGAACCCCCGCTTGTTCAGGAGCACCTCGAAGCTCCATGTGAGAGCTCCTCCCACGACATGCCGCCGCGTGAACCTCCAAAGGAGCTCAGTAGGCTGAGTGTGGAGGTGCTGGAAAGAGATCCAAATAGATCCAAAGAGTATAGAGGTATGCAGCATTAGCATATTAATAGATCTTCACTTGGGAGCTTCTAGCCACCCGATTGGAATGCTCTCGCTGAGCTGTTTGTCGGTTCTGCCAACCCTCAGGAGGAACTTGCAGCGGTACTTGCATTGTCTGACGAACGGATTGACTTAGCCACAAGGCTGCATTGAAGACGAAGCGTCGCACATTTTGACAAAGCTCCTGACATTTTCTTATTCACCAAAACCAAAATGATAGGAGAAAATGGAGTCAGAAAGTGATGCTTGACTGTGGCCTGACTTTGTGTCTCTGCTTCTTGTGCTTAAGGTCAACCGCATGGGTGGAGATCTCCTGTCCCAACTAGAGGCGGAATTCGCACCAGCGACCAGAGGATGACTGATGACTGATGACTGAGGATATCAGATAGTAAGATGATGTCAAGATGGTTTAGGTGTTTCAAATACTTGACAGATATCATGATACTTCAGGCCTGCAAACGTCGCATTCCAATCCGGTTTTAAGGTTACCTTGGCTTATCCAAATTGTCCTTCACCAAAGTTCTCCAAAGTTTCACCTGTGTCAAGGCAGTCTTCCAGTCAGAAGAGACAGCTGAGCTGGAGAAGTCTGTGCTGTCCGTGGTTGAGAGGCACGAAATTTGTGACCGGACGGCTTGAATGCAACCACATAGCTTACTGGGGCTTCTAGGTTGGAGGCCATCGCTTCTATGTTAGAGGCAAATTAGGTTGAGGCTTCGTGAGATCATGGTCCAATGGTCAGTCCTCTTTGTGCAGCGATTCCGCAGAGCCAAAACCAAATCGGCCGCTGCACACAGGTGGCGATCCCAACTGCCACAAGAGCGATCAAAGGACCAGCTGCATTCCTGGGTTGTTTGCCAACCCTACGTAGTGCTTTCAGTAGTTGCTCCGTTTTTGGCAGCACCTTTTTTTGCTCGTGAATGGCTTGTCCCAAAGTCCGGGATAATCTGGAAGCGATACAATGCTCCTTGTGTTCGATGCATGCGGCTACACGACATGGGAACACTCAATGCAAATTTGTCATCTTATTGTGAGTACTGCATGTGCCTTTCGTGACTTTAAAAGGTCCTTAAGGACCCAGCACATTTAAGGATTGCACTTTATCGTTGCCATGAGGTGCCTCGCCCCTCGATACACAGTCGAAACTATATATATATATTCAATCAGCACCCGAGTAAATCTTAGGTATAGTGTTTGATTTCGGTGCCGTGCTACTGGATGTGTCCCTCAAGTTTCGTGTGCTGGATTCCTGCAAACCCAACCTTCTGTCTTTAAATCGCAACTCGCTGGCATCGCCCCAAATTGAGTTATTCAGGGCATGGCCATTCACCATTCGGTTTTGGCTTTGAGGACCAAGAAACTGTGAGCCACCTGGAGCGGATGAGTGGCGCTGCCAAAGAAGCCGCTGCAGCGGTCAGCGACGTCACCGACGCCGCTGCTCGGGATGCCTTCTTGGTCACGTGGCGGGAGCGACTTTCCAGTTCTGCAAAGGCGTGGCGTCACCGGCGTCATGACGGACGTGTAGACCCCGTTTTCAGGGAGACGCCAACATGAGGAACGAAAAAGACAGTACATGTGAGAGGGAGGTTGTCATCCCAAGACGTGTTTCGAACATTTCTTGTAAATTTGGCGTGGTCATTTGACCCTTTGCAAAGTGGATCTGGGAGATCTTTCGATCCCTGAGAGGCTACGCTATCACAGGCGGAGCTGGAGGAGCAGGAGAGGGCAATTGGTTTAGATTAGCATGTCATAGCTCCAGTATGCTCCGATGATGCACACTATAATCCGTGGATGATGGTACCTGCTTGTAGAGTTAGCAAGGTGTTACATCTTTGAATAGTAGTCTTGGTAGTCATTACGAAAGCCAGCCGATAGGCTAGGCTGGAGTGAGTATTAGGGGGTCCAATCTGGTAGCGAACCCAGAGCCTGGTGGGGGAGAGCGAAAAAAGAACGTGTCCGAAAGGGAGTGAACATGTATAGTTTTTGCAAGTGATGTAATTGACGCCGAAGAGTGCATCATTAGCACCATGAGGGGCTCAGGTCTTCTACCAGGGAGAGTTCATGTCGAGGACAGGAAAGGGGGGACAACGGGACGCGTATGTGATCCGTTGAGGGCAGGAGAGGGAACAGAACGTAGTGGGCAAGGCTTGAGTTGCTTGGGGGTGTCCTTTTTTGTGGGTGAAGAGGCCTAGTAGCCAGGCGTGCAAGGGCACCCCATATGAGGCGGGAGTTCATGTGGAAGACAGGCATAGCGGAGGAGGACGTGATAGGAAAAGAGGGATTGCAAGAAACGATGTGACCCGTTGAGGACAGGAGAGGGAACAGAGTGCAGTGGGCAAACTTTGAGTTGCTCCCAGGGCCCCCCTTTTCTAATGGTGAAGAGGCCTAGAAGCCAGACGCAAAAGGGCACCAAGACAGGCATAGCGGAGGAGGACGTGATAGGAAAAGAGGGACTGCAAGAAACGATGTGACCCCTGGAGGACAGGACAGGGAACAGAATGCAGCGAGCAAGCTTTGAGTTGCTTGGGGGTGTCCCTTTTTAATGGTTCTAAGAGGCCTGTTGACGAGACACAAAAGGGCACCCCATATGGGGTGGGAGTTCATGAGGAGGAGCGGGGGTGGATGTGATAGGAAAAGAGGTGGGGAGCTCACCAGGGATCTTGCGTTCACCCCAATGACCATATTGATATCTTGTTACGGAGGCCGGCCTTAGAATCTGCAAGAAATGTTCTGCAAGAAAATAGTTCTTTCCAGCGTCGCACCAGTCCTTTTTGGCTTGACACTCAGAGCACTTGAAGTTTGATGATAATGATGACTTCCTGCACCCTGCAGGGCTTACGGGCACGTGCTGCTGCCCGTCGTACAAGAAAGTCTGCCAAAATCAATGCCACGAAGGAGGCACAGTGGCTCCTGATATTTTCAGCGGTTCGTCATGTCGTGTGGAAACAAAAAGACCGTCCTCCTGTGCTTATGAAACATGTTAACATTCCTTTACCGTGCCAATCCACATTCCTCCGTGCCAATTCAGAACCAATGGATACCAATGGCAGGCAGAGATGGCCACACGTCCTGTTTCCCGCCAGCGGGTGCGCCCCACGAGCGTTGGAGACCCGCCATATTTCCTTTTGGAAGTCCAAGACCTTCACGAAACACACCGAAACGATCGAAACGACGAAACACTGCCACGGTCAGCTGTGAAGTGTCGAAACACTTTTCCCAAATTCCTCCGTGAACCCCGGTGACCGGTGGCTGTGAACGTGTGTTTCGCTGTGATGCATGTGGCCCACATGTGGCTGTATGGTTCAGAGCTCGGACTCTTCGGGCCACAATGAAGAGAAGATGCCACTGCCCTAGGGGAACAGCCGATGCACGATTGCCCACAGCTATCGAGTTTCTTGATGCAGCCAGGAACTACAATTTTACGCATCATCGACATTTGTTTGCCAGATTTCAAAGACATTGACTATTTTTTCCGAAATTATATATATATATATGTCTTGCCAGACATGCATCGTGTTTGGAAACTGGTGATACTGGTGTCAATGGCGGGTGATTCCGCGGGGCTGTGGTTTTGCCTCTGCCTGGAAAGGCCGTATGCGTGAACATGGCCTGGTATACGTCCCTAGTCTGAATATGTCTGAATGGGGCTTGGCATAATTAGTGTTGCATTGGCTGGCACGGTGTGATTTTTGGAACATGTTGTTTTCTGCACGGTTGAATGGTCATTTTGAACATGTTTGAACTCATGACCTTGCTCCATGGAGTGACTTCAAACCGCAAAAACATGGAGACGTTCTCGAGTTCTCCATGAGTTCTCCATTCCAAACTCCAATTTCTACCTTTGGCGGCTCACTGTGAGGTGTCAGTCTTTGCCACTTGGTGTGTCTGGAACTCGAGACTGGGCAAAACGCTCCAAACACCTTCTCCGGTTGGGTCTTATGAGGTCTGGAGAAGTGGAGATCTTGAGGCGGGTGAAGCGCTGCTTGGTGG